AAATACATAGTAACTGTTCAAAGCAATTGCTATAATTTTCTCAGTGGTGGGAACAGATTAACAAGCCTTACCCTTGTTTTCCAATTGTAGGCGTGATGGGAAGGCTCTGGAGAGGTTTCTGCAGGATTACTTTGATGGCAATCTGAAGAGATACCTGAAGTCTGAACCTATCCCAGAGAGCAATGATGGGCCTGTAAAGGTGAGGTACTGACAGCCTCATCAAGCTATGAGCAATTGCCTCTCCTCGTTTCTTTGTTCCAAAACTGTGGGGTCTAAATGAAGACTTCATTGGCCATCTCTTTTTTTTTTTTGTCCTTACTCCCTGAGTCATAAAATAAGCATTGGCAGGCCAAGCGGTGGCTCATGCCTGTAATCCCAGCACTTTGGGAGGCCAAGGCAGGCAGATCATGAGGTTGAGAGTTCGAGATCAGCCTGCCCAACATGGTGAAACCCCATCTCTACTAAAAATACAAAAAAATCAGCCAAGTGTGGTGGCGGGTGCCTGTGTTCCCAGCTACTTGGGAGGCTGAGGCAGGAGAATCACTTGAACCCGGGAAGCAGAGGTTGCAGTGAGTCGAGATTATGCCACTGCACTCCAGCCGGGGTGACAAGAGTGAAACTCCATCTCAAAAAAAAAAAAAGCATCGGCAGGGCTCATAATGCTTGGTAGGGGCAAGAGTATAAAGCCTGCATAGAATTTTCTGATGAAATTTATATTGGGCTAAGTTACTCTTGAGGATAGAGCAACCCCTAAGAACAGTGTGTTACTTTGAATTTTTTTATAGAGATATGGTCTTACTCAGTTGCCTCAGCCTTCTGAGTAGCTTGGACTGCAGGCATGTGCCACCAAGCTTGGCTTGAAATTACTTTAAGGAACGGTTGGGTAGCACTTCTATATCCTGTAACTTCCTGAACATAGTTTGATAGGTGACAGACAAAGGAACGAGTTGGTATCTAGTGAATGACAACATCTTTAATCTGTAAATGTGATTTGGGTTTCTATGACTTACTTTCCTTGGTAACACATCAAATTAGAGAGGGATTGGGTCTAGAAACAAATACAGCTTGTGAATTTATTTTCTTATGTTACCTTACCAACTAGAGATTCTTCTGTGTTTTCCAGGTAGTGGTAGCAGAGAATTTTGATGAAATAGTGAATAATGAAAATAAAGATGTACTGATTGAATTTTATGCTCCTTGGTGTGGTCACTGTAAGAATCTGGAGCCCAAGTATAAAGAACTTGGAGAGAAGGTAAGTATGAACCCTATTCTGAGGATAACATTTGAGCGGGAGCAAAGTTTATAAATGTATTCAGCATTGGCTCATTTGCTTGGTTCCTAAGTACTTGTAGATTTTTTTTCCCAATTACTTGCTGTTTACTCACTTTCTCTTGACTGCCCCCTAGTGCTCCAGCCTGTGCAGTGCCTGAGATACCCACTTTTAACATTCCATTCCTCAGGCTCAATCTAGATAATAGTTCAAAATATCTAAGAACTTCTGAATTTTGGTAATGGCTTACATGAATCCATATGGTTCTTCATCTTAAAACATTTGACTTAGCCCCTGTAATGTCTTATTTAGACCAGGTAAATTTGAAGGTGGCAATATGTAGTCTTAATACAAGAGAAAAAAGGGAAGCTTGTGGAAAGTGAGGTACTACCATCTGCAAAGCACTCTTCCCACCTGAACAGCAGTTTATCTGCTGGACTTACAGGTGCGCACCACCACACCCAGCTAATTTTTGTATTTTTAGTGTTTGAAGAATGAGATTGTTTTAAGTCTTGAATTGACTTAAGTGTCCCTCTGTCACTGAAAATTTGAAATGTAAACATTTAACCTGTTTTATTAACAGCTCAGCAAAGACCCAAATATCGTCATAGCCAAGATGGATGCCACAGCCAATGATGTGCCTTCTCCATATGAAGTCAGAGGGTAAGTGGATTAAAAATTAACAAAAGTGTCTAGGCAATTGATTGGAATAAAGCTTGTAACCACCAGGAAATCATTACTAGACACAGTCTTCATATTCCAGTTGAAGGAAGAACCACTGATTCCTTCTTGGCTTAAGAGTTCTGCACATGAGCCCACATAACTGCTTCAAATTAATAAATGTTTCTTTCCCCAGTTTTCCTACCATATACTTCTCTCCAGCCAACAAGAAGCTAAATCCAAAGAAATATGAAGTAAGTGAATTGTCCCATATCCCCACAAATACATACACAGACATAAACACACACTCTTAAACATAGTTCTTTAATTGGGTTGGTTTATTTACTTATTTAATTTTATTTATTTTTGAGACGGAGTTTCGCTCTTGTTGCCCAGGCTGGAGTGTAATGGCGTGATCTCGGCTCACCGCAACCTCCACCTCCCAGGTTCAAGCGATTCTCCTGCCTCAGCCTCCCAAGTAGCTGGGATTACAGGCATGTGCCACCACCCTGGCTAATTTGTATTTTTTTTTTTTTTTTTTTTTTTGAGACGGAGTCTCGCTGTGTCGCCCAGGCTGGAGTGCAGTGGCCGGATCTCAGCTCACTGCAAGCTCTGCCTCCCGGGTTTTTACGCCATTCTCCTGCCTCAGCCTCCTGAGTAGCCGGGACTACAGGCGCCCGCCACCTCGCCCGGCTAGTTTTTTGTATTTTTTAGTAGAGACGGGGTTTCACCGTGTTAGCCAGGATGGTCTCGAACTCCTGACCTCGTGATCCGCCCGTCTCGGCCTCCCAAAGTGCTGGGATTACAGGCTTGAGCCACCGCGCCCGGCCGTATTTTTTTTTTATTATTATTATACTTTAAGTTCTAGGGTACGTGTGCATAACGTGCAGGTTTGTTACATATGTATACTTGTGCCATGTTGGTGTGCTGCACCCATCAACTCTTCATTTACATCAGGTATAACTCCCAATGCAATCCCTCCCCCCGCTAATTTGTATTTTTAGTAGAGATCGGGTTTCTCCATGTTGGTCAGGCTGGTCTTGAACTCCTGACCTCAGGTGATCTGCCCACCTTGGCCTCCCAAAGTGCTGGGATTACAGGCGTGAGCCACCACGCCAGGCTAATTGGGTTTATTTAACTAAAAACTGTTTAAACTCTCATGGTCAGTATATGTGGCTGCTAATGTGCTTTTACAAACTCAAAAGTCTTCCTTTTTGGAGCAGATCAGGGTTATTTAAAAAGTTACATTTTTAAGGTAATCTTTCTGTTTTCAGGGTGGCCGTGAATTAAGTGATTTTATTAGCTATCTACAACGAGAAGCTACAAACCCCCCTGTAATTCAAGAAGAAAAACCCAAGAAGAAGAAGAAGGCACAGGAGGATCTCTAAAGCAGTAGCCAAACGCCACTTTGTAAAAGGACTCTTCCACCAGAGATGGGAAAACCATTAGGGAGGACTGGGACCCATATGGGAATTATTACCTCTCAGGGCTGAGAGGACAGAATGGATATAATCTGAATCCTGTTAAATTTTCTCTAAACTGTTTCTTAGCTGCACTGTTTATGGAAATACCAGGACCAGTTTATGTTTGTGGTTTTGGGAAAAATTATTTGTGTTGGGGGGAATGTTTTGGGGGTGGGGTTGAGTTGGGGGTATTTTCTAATTTTTTTTGTACATTTGGAACAGTGACAATAAATGAGACCCCTTTAAACTGTCTTACTTTCCACAAGATTGAGAACCAGGTGTTCTCTGCACACTATCACTGTTCAATAGAGCTTTCCTCAGTGATGGAAATGCTCTGTAATCTACACTGTTCAGTACAGGTAGCTATGGAGCATCTGAAATATGGCTAGAAACTACATTTTTAGTCTTCATTAATTTAAATAGCAATACAGTTGCTACCATACTGATCACTGCAGCTGTAGACTGACTGACTGGGTCCATAATCACCTCAAAATTCTTTCACAATTTATTATCTCTTTCTCTCCTTACATGTTTATTGCCCAGGCCTACCCTGGTGATTAGAGAACAGGTGAAGGGCTTTTCTTGTTAGGCTGTCCATGCCCTAAGGATGGGTTCCTGTTTATCCTTGCCACGCAGCTAAGCTTACTGCATATTTATACCTCCCAAGGACTGTTCTCTGCCCAGAAATGCCCTGTCAAGGGTGTGGCATCACAAGGTTTCATCCAAGTTGTTTCAGGAATTGCTGACACTGCTGGGTGCAGTTCTATCTCCCAAAGCCTAGGGTGTGGCCCTTTAACCTCCCCCTTCAGTAGAACTGGGAAAGGCGGTATCATTCCTAGTTATGAGTAAAGCATCCACTTTCTTTTGTAACAATGAGGAACAGAAAGGACTGAAGAGTGATCTTTTGTCCAACTAAACCATTTATCTCCTTTTGTAGGTAAATTCAAATCCTGCCCAGTTATAGTTTTCAGTCACTGGATAATTTGAGGTAGGAGCGCTACTTTAGGTGATCCTAGGAATTCCTATGTTCAGAAAAGAATTTTCTTCCTACTATATAAATACAGTATGTAGCTGTCAATTTTAAGATGAATTTGTCAAGCCTGTAATCCCAGCACTTTGGGAGGCTGAGACGGGCGGATCACGACGTCAGGAGATCGAGACCATCCTGGGTAACACAGTGAAACCCCGTCTCTACTAAAAATACAAAAACTTAGCCGGGCGAGGTGGCAGGCGCCTGTAGTCCCAGCCTACTCGGAGGCCTGAGGCAGGGAGAATGGCATGAACCCGGGAGGCGGAGCTTGCAGTGAGCTGAGATCCGGCCACTGCACTCCAGCCTGGGTGACAGAGCGAGACTCCGTCTCAAAAAAAAAAAAAAAAAAAAGATGAATTTGGTAGAGCCTTACAGCAAAGTATGTATCTTGGTCACACACAGAGCTTGGAAAAAGTAAAAGATGTCTAAACCATAATCTTGGAGATTCTAACTCATAACATCTGGGCTGGGGTCCAGGGATCTAATTGTTTAGAGAGCCCCAAAAGTGTCTCAGATGTGAAGGCAGGGTTAAGAACCACCTGCCTTGGAAGATTTAAGGAAAACATATGAACTTGTACAAAGGACACAGAAGCAGTCAGTTTTAATTTTTTAGCCATGTTGGTAAAAAAGTTCATTTTCAGTACATGGGTAACACCCAGGCCCTTTCCCATTATATCTAGGTATGCTACAAGTTATTTTAGCTCTTACCAAAAGTTATTATTACTGTTTCCTTAGGGAGGCTAGTAGACTAAATTCACTTAGTTTGGTTTGTCTAATGTCCTCATTATCTTATCCTGAAGATGATGTCATTTCTCAGGACTTGAAAATGACTTGGCTGAACTAAAGGTAAAAAAGCCAAGCCTCTGTCACTTTTCCTAAACTCCTAGGCATAGCTATGGAGTCTTTGCACAGTGCCCACACCCTAAAAATTAACAATGAAAACCAAACCTCAGGAAGCTAGAGCAACTCTCTACTTGCCACCACGGACTCCAGTGGTCAGCAAAAGAAAAGCAGATAGTTGCATTCTATTTAGTTTACAGCTGCTTTGTTCCTTCGTGTTTCACTAAGCAGAGGCTCAAGAATTCCCTTGATAACTTCAGCTGCCCCTGTTCTTTTCCTCAAACTCCAGGATGAGACCTTTAATGTGGGACAATTTCTGGTGAAGGTACTCACAGCGACGCTTTTCTTCTCTGTAACCTGGGTACCGCTGCAGAGAAAAAGCATCCATGTCAAAAAGTAAAAATTCCCATTTCTACCTTGCTTGCTTCCATTCCCCGACCTTGTCTTACCTTCCTGAACTTTTTATATTCCTGGACTATCTTGTCTTCCAGCACCTGAAACAGAAAATACTAGCACTGAGTTCAACATTAAGAAATAAAGAGAGGGGTGGCCAGGCACGGTGGCTCACGCCTGTAATCCTAGCACTTTGGGTGGCCAAGGTGGGCAGATCATGAGGTCAGGAGATAGAGACCATCCTGGCTAAGACAGTGAAACCCATCTCTACTAAAAACAAAAAAATTAGCCAGGCGTGGTGGCAGGCGCCTGTAGTCCCAGCTACTTGGGAGGCTGAGGCTGGAGAATGGCGTGAACCCAGGAGGCGTAGCTTGCAGTGAGCCGAGATCGCGCCACTGCACTCCAGCCTGGGCGAAGTGACTCCATCTCAAAAAGAAAAAAGAGAGAGGGGCCAGGCGCAGTGGCTCACACCTGTAATCCCAGCACTTTGGGAGGCTGAGGTGGGTGGATCACTTGAGGTCAGGAGTTCAAGACCAGCCTGGCCAACATGTTGAAACCCTGTCTCTACTAAAAATACAAAAATTAGCTGGGCATGGTGGCACATACCTATAATCCCAGCTATTCGGAAAGCTGAGGCACGAGAATTGCTTTAGCCTAAGGGGTGGAGGTTGCAGTGAGCCAAGACTGTGCCTGAGAGAGCTAGACTGTCTCAAAAAAGAGAAGTAACTTCCCTTCTCATTCTACTGAATGATACAATGATACAGACTAATTTTTCCCTTCAAACAGGTTTCCTTGTCATTGCTTAGTCACTTTATGAACACAGGCATATGGGTGGTTAGCAGGGGGTTAATGGCCAGTAGAGTTGGAAAGCTAGGCTGGGTCCTGTCCTTACCTTATATTCCGGAGTTCCTCGCTGAACTCTTTTAATCTCTGCTCCCAGCTCTATGAACCTTTGGCTTGCAGTCCCAACACGGGCATGCAGGATGCGGTATTCAGCATAATCTGTCTCAAAGTCCCGCTCATAGGCATGGTGCTGTTCTGCACTGCGGATGGCCCTGTATTGCCTGCCAGGAGCAGAGAGCTGTCACCTTCAATTTCATTGCCCCTGAAAAGCCCTCAGCTTCCAGGAAGTATATCTTAATATATGCACAAGGCTTCATGAAATTGGAAAAAGCAAGGGAACTCACAGGAGATAGTCTGGTACATCTTCAGGGCTTGGGGATTCAGAATCTAGGAAGGAATCAAGAAAACACAAGTGATTATAAGTCTTTTCCACTGGCGTTTTTACCCTCCTTTCATTAACTCACCTTCTTGAACTGAAGAACTGCATTCTAATCTGGGGTCCATGTCTTCATCCTTATCTTCTTGCTCCCAATCTTCTCCCTCTTGTAAATCCTGATTGGTCAGGCCTTGTAGGGGGCTTGGCGCTAAAGGCAGAGTTCTGAACCTCTTTTCTTCTAGTTCTACAGTGGCCACAGGCACTGAACGTTTCTGTTGAGGAAAATATCTGTGTGACATAAACAGCCAAGAGCTTCCTAAATATGTTCTTTTCTCAAGAATTCCTCCTAGGCTGGGCACAGTGACTCATACCTGTAATCCCAACCATTTCAGAGGCTGAGGTGGGGGAATCGCTTGAACGCAAGATTTCAAGACTAGTCTGGGTAACATAGTGAGACCCTATCTCTGCAAAAAAATCAGAAAATGAGCCTGGTGTGGTGGCACACACCACCTGAGGAGGGAGAATCACTTGAGCCCAGGAGTTCAAGGCTGTGGTGAGCTGTGGTCATACCACAACACCCTAGCCTGGGTGACAAGAGTGAGACTAAGAAAAAAAAAAAGGATGGTTTGAACCCAGGAGTCTCCAGCCTGGGGAACAGAGAGACTTTGTCTCTAAAAAAATTCCTCCTATATAATGAGCTTCCAATTTCTTTCTTTCTTTCTTTCTTTTTTTTTTTTTGAGACAGAGTTTCACTTTTTTTGCCCAAGCTGGAGTGCAATGGCGCGATCTCGGCTCACCGCAACCTCAGCCTCCTGGGTTCAAGCGATTCTCCTGCCTCAGCCTCCCGAGTAGCTGGGATTACAGGCATGTGCCACCACCCCGGCTAATTTTGTATTTTTAGTAGAGACGGGGTTTCTCCATGTTGGTCAGGCTGGTCTTGAACTCCCGACCTCAGGTGGTCCACCTGCCTCGGCCTCCCAAAGTGCTGGGATTACAAGCGTGAGCCACCGCGCCCGGCCTGAGCTTCCAATTTCTAAGTTTTCACTTGACTAAAAGTGCTCTTCAAAATAGTCTTTGCCACTGTTTCATTATACCAATGTTACAAAAAAAAAAAAGAAATGCCCTTGCCATTATAACTTACCTTGTCCAGACGTTTCCGGCTGGCAGAGGAAGGCAGCGCTTGAACAGGTTCTCTGTTTGGAAGATGGGTCTGGTTTCTAGGATATTTTCAGGGAATGGGACAGATGAAGACCAGGGTAGGAGGTGGAACTGGATCTTTTATTACAACATTTAAGAGTGGAGATTAGAAAGGAAGACAATGCCAAAGCTTCCCATGTTAGTCCCACCCCGTCCCAAGTACCTCACTTCCCACTGTGCCATGTGCTCCCTTGAGGATCCTGGGAGTGACTGTCCTTGGTTGCTTGCCAGTGGATCTGACACTGACACCTGGTGGGGAAAGTGGCAGGAGCACTTGGTTCCCTGGAGTACTGGGATACCTTGGACTTCAGCCTTTGCCCCACCTTATCACAACTCCCTGCAGTTTCTGGCCTCACCTCCTCTAGTGCTATCTGTGGCTGTGATACTACATCTCCTTCAGAATAGTTTCCTGTGTTCTGCCAGCTCTCAGGATGTCTGGCATCTTCAGGCAGGTTGTGTCCCTGAACTGATAATGGGGCTGGGATAGAATCCATGGCTGCCCAAATAATGAGGCGCTCCCTGAGTGAGCCCAGGCAGTGGAGGCGGTTAGACCCAGACCTGGAAAGGCGTGGTGGAAAAAAATAGGGGGGTGAGCTCTTAAGCACCTCTCCACATTTCCCTCCCCCACTTTCCACAAACCCTTTCTTGCCTGCTACCTGTTCCCCCTTACCTGACGAAGCGTTGGCACACAAGGTCTAGGCTACCACCAGCGCCCTCCTGGCAACACTGGGACACTATGAAGGAGAAGAGGCAGGACCAGCCAGGGCCTGGGAGCCTCAGATACTGGAGGTGGAAGGAGACGGTAAGCCCCATGAAGTCAGCCCCTCCCCCTCCTGCCGCCGCCACTCCTCCGGGAGCCAGCCTAAGTAAGACTAAGACGGGTCCCACAGGGCTCGTTAGCACACCAGGTGCAGCTGGGCCTGAGTTCCCCAGGAGGCTGAAACAGCACAGTCCCCTCAACCACAGCCCCCTGGGACAACCCCAGCAGCCTCCTCGCCCCATTTGGAGTTCAGTTCTCGGAAATACCTCAGACCGTGACCACTCGCAGCCTCCGGCCCCGACCGCACCTTCCACCTCCAGCCCACGTTTATGCTCCCTCGCCCTAACCTCACTCACACACCCTGAGCTCGCACTTACCCCTCGGTGGCCTTGGAAGGCAATCACCGGCCGTACCTGCGGGGAGAGCGAAGATGTGACCATTGAGCGCAGGTGAAGCGGTATCCCCAGGATCCGGGGTCCGGAGCCCGGGATCACCTGCCTAGCCGGCTTCACTTGGAGAGGTGGGGAGGCCAGAGCTTCCGGATGCCGTTCCCTCTCCCCTGCACCTTCTCCAGGGTCGCCGGCTGAGGCCCAAGGTTCCCAGGGGCAGGGACTAGAGAAGAAGGGGGCCGGCCGTACCTGTTGCCGCTGACACTCTTGCAGCGCCCGCAGCGCAGCGTCGTTGAGCCTGAGCAGTAAGAGGCTGGTCCGGGCAGCTGGCGTGAAACAGAGCCGGCGCTGTCCACTCAGAGGCTCCTGGAGCTCCTCCATGGCGAAGAGTTCGAGTGCAAGCAGCACGGGGGCCACAGGCGAGGGCCACCACCGCCACCTCCTCTGTGCAAGGTTTGGCTGGCACACCCGGTAACCCACGTCTGCCCCACCCTCCGCCCGGAACCCGCCCCTGGCTCCACCTCCGGCCAGCACCACCCTGAGGTTTCCCAGCCGCGTGGGCGGCGCTTCGCTTTCCCGGGCCAACCCCCCGGACCTCGGCGCTCTCTTCTAGGATCTGCGTGAGTCGCTTTGGGCTATCGGAAGAGCTATCCCCATTTCTCGGGAGAAAGAGTCCGCGACCACTGTCTGACCTCTCACCCAGAGTCCCCAGTCCTGCCTCAGTTTCCCCAGCGACCCTGAATTTGGAGTTGCTGTCTCTAAGTGAAAGCTGAAACTGCAACCCTTTGAGGGTTTCAGCCGCAGAGGGGCGGGAGAAAGGGCCTGATTGGTAGGCGGGCTCAGCGGTTCGCGCCCAGTTAGCCCCGAGCCTCGGAGACCAGAGGATGGCTGACCCGAAGGGGCACCCGAGACAGCGCTTGGGCTTTTTCCCGCCCGCCGTTCCACCGCGCATCTGAAACCGGTTTCTAATAGACTGGAGAGGTAATCGGGCCCTGCGGTTGTGGTGGCAGCAGCGAAAGTTGGCTGTCACCGACTGGAGCGCCCCCCACTGGTGGGCAGGGATGCGGGCGCGGGTAGTGGCAGGAAAGTTGCAGGGCAGAGAGCCAGAACCCAGTCCTAGGTCTCATCTCGTGGCCTAAACACACGTCAGAGTGGTGAGACCGCTCCCTGAGGAGGGCCAGGAGCTGCCATGAAGTCGCCAGGCATTCCAGAGGGCCAGATCCTGGTGCAGTGAGACCCCAGGACCAACCTCTGGCCAGCTCTTGGTGTTTCCACTTGTTCCTGTTTGATTATATTTCCCAAGAGCCTTAATGTTGTCCTGTTTCCTAACCAGGATCCGTCTGTTAAATCCCTGGACCTGCACAATCCCAGGGAACCTTAATGTCCTCCACCACAAATAAAATTACCTATACGTTTGTCAAAACTCATCAAAAAAATACCCATAATTTTTGTTTTGTTTTGTTTTGTTTTGTTTTTGAGACGGAGTCTCGCTCTGTCACCCAGGCTGGAGTGCAGTGGCGCGATCTCGGCTCACTGCAAGTTTCGCCTCCCAGGTTCACGCCATTCTCCTGCCTCAGCCTCCCGAGTAGCTGGGACCACGGGCACCCGCCACCACGCCCCACGCCCGGCTAATTTTTTGCATTTTTAGTAGAAACGGGGTTTCACCGTGTTAGCCAGGATGGTCTCGATTTCCTGACCTCGTGATCCGCCCGCCTCGCCCTCCCAAAGTCCTGGGATTAGAGGCGTGAGTCACCGTACCAGGCCAATACACATAAAATTTGTATGTAAATTGTACTTCAATAAAGTTGATCTTTAAAATCTGTGCTATCTCTGTTTCTCTGTGACAATATCCTAATTTGATAAACAGTTGTGGTAATGGATAAAGCTGGTCTCTTAGCTGGGCATAGCAGTGCATGCCTGTAGTCCCAGCTACTCAGGAGGCTGAAGCAGGAGGATCGCTTGAATCCACGTTCAGGCCATGTTTTTGTCACTGCACTTCAGCCTGAGCGACAGAGAGAGACCCTGTCTCAAAAAGAGAGAGAAAAAAAAAAAAGGCCGGGCACACCAGCTCCTGCCTGTAATCCCGGCACTTTGGGAGGCTGAGGCAGGTGGATCACCTGAGGTCAGGAGTTTGAGACCAGCCTGGCCAACATGGTGAAACCCCGTCTGTACTAAAAATACAAAATTAACCGGGTGTGGTGGCACACGCTTGTAGTCCCAGCTACTTGGGAGGCTGAGACAGGAGAATCACTTGAACCCAGGAAGGCAGAAGCTGCAGTGAGCCAAGATCATGTCTCTGCACTCCAGCCTGAGTGAGACAGAGCAAGACTCCATCTCAAAAAAAAAAAAAAAGAGGCTGAGTGCGGTGGCTCATGCCTGTAATCCCAGCAGTTTAGGAGGCCGAGGCAGATGGATCACTGAGCTCAGGAGTTCGAGACCTCCCAGGGCAACATAGTGAAACCCTGTCTCTACTCAAACTACAAAAAAAAATAACCAGGTATGGTGGCACACACCTGTGGTCCCAGCTACTTGGGAGGCTGAGGCAGGAGAATTGCTTGAGCCCAGAGATGAATGTTACAGTGAGCCGAGATCACACCACTCCACTCCAGCTTAGGCTGGAGTGAGACTCCATCTCAAAAAAAAAAAAAAAAAAAAAGAGGCTGGGCGCAGTGGCTCATGCCTGTAATCCCAGCACTTTGGGAGGCGGAGACAGGTGGATCACCTGAGCTTAGGAGTTCGAGACCACCCAGGGCAACTTGGTGAAACCCCATCTCTACTAAAACTGCAAAAAAATTAACCAGGTGTGGTGGTGCACACCTGTAGTCCCAGATACTTGGGAGGCTGAGGCAGGAGAATCGCTTGAGCCCCAGAGGCGAATGTTGCAGTGAGCCGAGATCACGCCACTCCACTCCAGCTTAGGCTGGAGAGATACTCTATCTAAAAAAAAAAGAAACCTGAGTTTTGCTCAATATGGGGACAGAGAGATAGGAGTCATGGTAGGGGAAATAGATTCAAGAAAAAGTTTTAAGATGGAAGAAATAGCATGTTCTATGTTGACGGAAATAACTTTTAGAACATCTCCAAAATTTTGATGGTGTAGGAGATTTACTGCAGTAGTGCACTTGAATAGGTTTGAGGTCATGAGATCTATTCAGGATTGGCTTTAGGTAGGAGTGTGGGCAGTTCGTTTATGGTAACGGGCCACAAGCAGAGAAGGTGGGTGCAAGTGTAGAGGTTAGGCAGATGTGGTGGGAGTCTGAAAATTTTTTTCTGATTGCTTCCATTTTTCTCAGTGAAGTAGGAAGCAACTGAGAGAGAGGATGAGGGAGGAGTGATTGGGGTTGAGGTGTGAACATAGTGTGAAACAGTTGCCTGTAAGTGTGAGTGAATAAGTTAGGAATGTGTCAAACACTAAGGACTGATGATAAATCTGAGGCTTAGAGAAGCAGAGCTTCTAAACCTGGGCCTACAGATCATAGAATTCAGGGAATTTGTGAACTTGGAAGGGAAAAAAATTACTTATTTATTTATTTTTGAGGCAGGTGTCCCTCTGTTGCCCAGGCTGGAGTGCAGTGACACAATCATAGTTCACTGCATCCTTGAACTCCTGGGCTCAAGCAGTCCACCCGCCTCAGCCTCCTTCACAGCTGTAACTACCGGAGTGTGCCACCATACCTAGCAAATTTTTTAAATTTTTTGTAGAGACAGGATCTTGCCATGTTGCCCAGGCTGGTCTCAAACTCCTGGCCTCAAGCGATCCTCCCACCTCAGCCTCCCAAAGTGCTGAGATTACATGCATGAGTCAGCATGCCCAGCCAAAATTACATCTGTATTTTCACTAACCTTTAACAGAAATTTAGCATCTCCTTTAATTATGAATGTAGGCAACAGATCACTGGTACTGGCAGTAACTGCAATGTTCTTACTAATAGAAATAACAGATATTTTCATTTTACATTACAAGTGTTGAAGATACATCTAAATATTGTTTGCATTCAGCACACTTTGTAATTATAATTGCTATTAGACTTACTGTTAGATCTTTAATGCATTGATAAAAATCAGTTACTACACCATAAACATTTTAATATTTTGATAATTATATGTGAATATGATTGTTTTCCTTTATGAACCCATGTGTTTTTTGCAAATTAAAAAAAAATGTTTATTTTCTTTTTTTGGAGACGGAGTTTGGCTCTTGTCAACCAGGTTGGAGTGCAATGGCGCGATCTCGGCTCACTGCAACTTCCAAATCCCTGGTTCAAGGGATTCTCCTGCCTCAGCCTCCCAAGTAGCTAGGACTACAGGCACGCGCCACCACACCCAGCTAATTTTTGTATTTTTAGTAGAGATGTATTTTAGTATTTTATTTTTATTTTTTATATGTATTTATTTTTATATGTATTTTTATATGTATTTATTTTTATTATTTTAGTTTCACCATGTTGGCCAGGATGGTCTCAATCTCCTGACCTTGTGATCCGCCCACCTTGGCCTCCCAAAGTGCTGGGATTAAAGGTGTGAGCCACTGTAGCTGGTGATCTTAACTGGTTTTTTTTTTTTTTTTTGAGACGGAGTCTTGCTCTGTTACCCAGGCTGGAGTGCAGTAGAGCGATCTCAGCTCACTGCAAGCTCCGCCTCCTGGGTTCACGACATTCTCCTGCCTCAGCCTCCCAAGTAGCTGGGACTACAGGTGCCTGCCACCATGCCTGGCTAATGTTTTGTATTTTTTTTTTTTAGTAGAGACAGGGTTTCACCGTGTTAGCCAGGATGGTCTTGATCTCCTGATCTCATAATCCGCCCACCTCAGCCTCCCAAAGTGCTGGGATTACAGGGGTGAGCCACCGCACTCGGCGATCTTAACTGTTTTTAAGTGTATGGTTCAGTAGTGTTAAGTACATTCATATCGCCCTGCAGCCAATCTCCAAAGCTCTTCATCTTGGAAAACTGAAACTCTATACCCATTTAACAATTCCCCATTTCCCCCTCCTCCCAGCTGCTAGCAACAACCACCCTTCTGCTTTCTGTTTCTGTGAATTTGACTACTGTAGATACCTCATACAGTAGTCTACCCTTATCTTCAGGGAAATTCCAAGGCCCTCAGTGGATGCCTGAAACTGCAGAAAATACTGAACCCGAATGCTGACAATCAGAACATGTTACTGTTCATGTCTCCCATCCACAAATGTAATGCCTTTTCCATCTTAATTAAGCACTTATGATGCACTGTGGCCATAACTTTCGCAGTTTGAGTGGCAACAGCAAAACTGGCATGAGTTTTTTTCTCTTTTTGTTTCACAATTTCATGAATAGAGGAGATTTATTCTTACCTTAAATCTTAGCAACCTCAGCATAAGTTTTTTTTTTTTACTTATTGAGAACTTCCACCTTTTCATTTAAAGGAAGCACTTTATGGCTTCTCTTTGGCAAAGCCAAATTGGCAGCACCACTACTCTTGCATTTTGGGCTCATTATTAAGTAAAATAAGGGTTGCTTACATACAAACACTGTGATACGCTCTGATAACTGAGATGGCTACTAAGTGATTAGTGGGTGAGTGTTGCCTACAGTGTGGATACACTGGACAAAGGGAGGATTGCCATCCTGGGTGGGATGGAGAGGGAGGATATTTTATCACACTATTCAGAACAGCACTTAATTTAAAAGCTTATAAGTTGTTGGCTAGCCACAGTGGCTCACTCCTGTGATCCCAGCACTTTGGGAGGCCGAGGCAGGTGGATCATTTGAGGTCAGGAGTTCGAGACCAGCCTGGCCAACATAGTGATATCCCATGTCTACTAAAAACACAAAAATTAGCTGGGTGCGGTGACTAATTTTAGTCCCAGCTACTCAGGAGGCTGAGGCAGGAGAATCACTTCAACCCAGGAGGCAGAGGTTTCAGTGAGCCGAGATTGAGCGAGGTTCTGTCTCAACAACAACAACAAAAAACTTATTGTTTATGTCTGCATTTTTCCTTCTTTTTTTTTTTTTTTGAGAAAAAGTCTCACTATGTTACCACCAGGCTGGAGTGCAGTGGTACAATTCCAGCTCACTGAAACCTCCGCCTCCTGGGTTCAAACGATTCTCCTGCCTTAGCCTCCTGGGACTACAGGCATGCCACCATGCCTGGCTGATTTTTGCATTTTCAATAGAGATGGGGTTTCACCATGTTGCCCAGGCTGGTCTCGAACTCCTGGACTTAAGTGATTCACCTGCCTCAGCCTTCCCAAGTGCTGAGATTACGGGTGTGAGCCACTGCACCTGGCTCCTCTTCTTCCTCTTCCTCTTCTTCTTCTTCCTTTTTTGAGACACAGTTCGCTTTCTCACACTGGCTGGAGTGCAGTGGCGCGATCTCAGCTCACTGCAACCTCTGCCTCCCGGGTTCAAGCGATTCTGGTGCCTCAGCCTCCCGAGTACCTGGGA